AGAAGAAATGGAGAACTTGAACAGAACAATTAGTATGAAAGAGATTAAAACAGCAAACATCTCGCCTCCTAAAAAACAGCAGGTGCAGACATTTTTACAATGAGTTCTACCAAATTTTAAGGAACAGTCCATTCCTATTTTATACAAGATGTTCGAGGAAAATAGGAAACAATAAAAAACTGACCAGGACCTTTTACGAAGCTATTATTATCTTGATTCTAAAAATCAGATAATGACAAGAAAATCATAGATCCATTTTAACATGATACAAAAATCCTACACTAAATATTACCTAAGTGAATCCAATGGTATATTTTAAAAATAACATACCAGGATTAAGTAGAATTTATCCCAGGAATTCAAGGATGGTTCAACATCGGAAACAGACTTAAAGGAGAGAAACCAAAGGATAATCTCAATCAACGAAGAATGAGTGTCATCAAGTTTGGCAAAAGGCAAAATTGTATACTTAAGGGAGAATGTGTTTGTGACTTAGCAATAGGGAAAAACTTAAATATCAATAAAGTTCCTGATTAATTTTATCACATCAAAATTAAGGATTTTTGTTCAATGAAAAATACCATAGACAAAGTTAATAGAAAAATGGCTAAATGACAGAATTGGGGAAGATATTTGTAGTGCCTAAAGTGAAAAGGAATTATTACAGAGAATAGATAGGAAATTCCTGCAAATCAAGAAAAGGGCAGTAACCCTGAAAGAACAATGGTCAAATAATATGAAAAATCAATTTATAGAACTTAATCTAGACTACAAAAATTGCAAAGCTGTATAATACTAACTGGTGGCAGGGAAGAGAAGCCTCATGCATTGCTGGTGGGAATGGAGATTGGTGTAATCATTCTGGCTTGGATCAAAGCCTCAGTTAACGAAGAACTGCTCCTCTGCCTTGCTTTGTACTCTGTGCAATATGTCTTTGGGAGACTTCATCGGGAGGAATGGCTGGTCTAACATAGGATTTGGGTCTTAGGACACTGTAGGTCTTGACCATCTATCTCTACCTGGTATAATTACATTATCCACACAGACTAAAAGACAAGAAAGAAAAATTACCACTGCATCCTTCTGTTTAACACAGGTCTTTACGTGGCTTTTTTTAAAATCACATTTTTTAAGACTCACAAAACACTGTCCTCAGTGAAATTGCTATACATTTCATTTTTAATATAATTTTTGAAGCAAGCATGACTCTCTTGTAGTTGTACTGATCATCATTATTATACACAGTGGAGAACTGGGAAAATAAGAAATTTAGTTCTGAGAAACATAAAGTGTTGCTAGACAATCTGGAGAAAGGGTTCTTGAGGTTTCAGTAACCCCAAACTATTACATGGGAATAATTATATGGGTCTGCTGTTCTCAGCCAAAGGGGACTACAGTTACGTTTTATTCAAGGAAAGAGAACTTAAAGAAGTCTAGGTGCTGAAAGGGCCTGTCTTGGAAGGAGGTCTATCCTAATTGGGAAAAAGTAGGTCTTCCTGACTCTCAAAATTGAGTTGGGCAGGACCCAAAGGGAGTAGTAATGGACCAATTCAAATTTCAGGAGGGATTAAAGTTTCCACATGGAATTCTCCTCTTCAGATAACAGCTGAAGTTGGCCAGGAGACAGAAGTAAAGGGGTCATCAACTCTACACCTCAACCCATGGTCACTTCTCAGGGTACTGGTAGAGGCTTGTCTCCCTACCAGAAAACTAAAACAGATTGTGGCAGACCCTGCTGGGATAGAGGGCAGGAAATGTACATCACATCTTGATTAGGTCATGATCAAGATTCAGAAGCAAAAACTGTTCTTAAAATTCCTGGGGATGAAAGATACAGGGCTATTGTATCACTTGGCTGTCACTATCCTTCCTCTCAGTGACAGAGACACAGGATTACTCAGAGTCCAACTTTGTGAAAGCAATGAGAGGCCCAGAGGGACTACACCAAGCTAACTCCCACAAGAAAGGAGAGAGTATGTGCTGCTTGTCTCATCTTTTATTATAATATCAAGACCTTGGCCATGTAACAAGCTGAGTATAGTATCAAAAGAAGTACAGAGAGGAGGGTGTGAACAGGACAGAAAATGATCTCAGTGTTCTCTACTAATGAATCAGAACATCTTCTCTGTTTCCAGCATGTGCTGTTTTCAGTATGTAAAGTTCTGATTCTGTGTACTTAAGGCTTTTGCCCTTTGTGTACTCCCTATTCTAAACAGGCCCCTGTGTTCCCATGCTCGACCATGATTACTTTTACCTTTTGGAGTTTGCTAACCAGGCAACCATTACCCAAACATTTTTAAAGCCATTTATGCATTTGAAACCAAGGAAAATTTATTTGGGTTGACCCAATCTCTACACAGATGGCAGATTTTTATGCTAACAACAAAGCTACTGCTTGGTAAGTGGTAAAAGCTCAGTCTCAAGAACTGTGGAAGTGGACTTTCAAAAGGGGACCGGTCTTTGACCCATGCTCTCTCTCAGGGGCTCAGGATGATACAGACCCAGGCCATCTTCCTAAAAGATGTGTCGGTCTGAGATGCCCAGAGAACCTTTCTCTTAATGCAATGATAGGCACTTACTGCAGACAACTGGGGCTATGTGCTCACATACCAGAAAAACCGATGGTCATTATAAAGATATGAATGTTTCCTGGGCAAATAGGGACATATTATGCATGCACATGTAATACATAACATTTACTTTGGGTAAAAATACCCACGATATTAAAACAAAAACAAACACTTTTGAACACATTATGAATTAGGATTAACAATCCAATAGCAAGTGCAACACAAAGCAAAGAAACTTTCTAGAAGTCTTACAAAAAGTTTACGATGTTCTTAAGGTTATGGTTTGTTTCAGTAACAAATTTCAAAACCTTAAATGGTGCAAAAAGTACTAACATCCTAACTGTAACCAGACTTTATATTATCCTGACCAAGAGAAGCTGGTTCAAATATCCTAAAAAACGCTGTGATTTTTTAAAAGAGCAAATTGCAATTTTCCTAAATATCAAGAGGGCAAGAAATGAGAAACAGCCATGTGGTTTTACAAACTCTCTATTTAGAAGCTTGTAGGAAAGAGAAATCTGTACCAGACACTGAGGGAAGGATTAAGGTTGTTCCCTCTCAGTCAGGGCTAAGAAGGCAAAATAAGTAACAGTAGGCTAGGAAGAATGTAAAAAGAATACGGGAAAAAACATGCATACAGTGGACTTATAAAGCACTCAATGATATTTACTTGTAAGACAGAAGGAGAGGAATTACAACAGAGAGCAAATCAAGAGCAGGTCTGGCATCAGAGTTTGCCAAACAAAGGGCAAAGTGAATTGTTAGCATCCCACGCAGACATCAATGCTGCCATCACTTCCATCCATCAATATTTCCTTGCCCTTGCCCTTGTACTTGTATCAAACTCTAATAAGAGATCAAGACATCTTTTCCCTTCAAGTTGGAGCCCGGGAAAAAGAGGCTACTGAGATCTGCCAAGCCCAATCACCAGAACTAGGTTTCCATAGAGTAGTTTGGGCCCAAATACTCAATATGGTTCAAAGTGTTCTTTTACCTGGCTTTGTCCTGTAATCTCTCTCTTTCTTGGTGATCTTGTTGATAAAGGATTTGGTTATTTAGGGTCCTGGTTAATTCTCTCTCTTTTCATTGAAAACACATGACTCAATACTGATGCTGTTATGATAATACACATTCACTTTAAGAAGGTCACATATTCATCTATTTTAAAGAAAGAAAGTAGAAACATCAGAATAATGAAATTTCAAGGAATAGAATCCAAATGAAACTGGCTGAGCCCTGAACAGTGAAACCACTAGCTATCTAAGCATGTCACAGAACAAGAGGAACCTGGGTGCCCTCAGGGGCAGGTAGCAGTACCTGCCAGAGGAAGGGATAGTCTCTTCATTCAAAAAGGATTTCAAAGATAGAAAGTACTACTCATTCTGAATGAGTAGTACTTGGCATCAAAAAGGACATATGCTGTCAGAAAGTGCTCTCTGCCTCAGGTCACAAACTCATCAGCAATGGACAGAAATAGGGTAATCTTTTCGCAGTCACTTCCTGAAATCACCTCCAGCTTTCTTCAGGACATAGTGAGGTGTGCTCACCAGTCCCTACAATAGCTTGCCCGCTGAACATCCTCCTTTAGCAATCCTCTGGCATTTCTTCTAACCTTCATGGGGACTGTACCAGTAACTTCTCCCTGATAACGAAGCTCATTATCTAGAGAGACTGGCCATGTCAGTGTTGCTCAATATTTTCCACTTTATAGTATAAATAAAACTTAATTTGGCTGGAAAACATATTCTCTCTACTTACAACCTCTTAGAAATCTATATGTTGAAATATTCAAATTGTAATTGCTATTTTCCGTTAAGTTTTCTAGTATGTGGTCAGCTGGGGCCCTTTGGTCATAGCTCCTTGCTCATGTGTTTGCAATTTCTCTGCATCCAGAAGACCCATGGCTTAGGTTTTGATCAAAGAAAATAAGACTGGCTTTCTCAAATCCTTAGAATCAAAACACTTTCCAAAAATATTTTGCTTATAAAATTTAGGGTGATCCACGCCCACCACCAATAACAGAAATACTTTCAAAAGGTACTAAATTAAAGCAAAACCAAGGGTTAAATAAAGTGTTTTTTCATAAGGATTTTAAAAACTGGTTTAATTCTGTTCATATCAACTACAAGTGGGATTGGGCTCATCTCAGGAAATTCGAAGGTTTACTATCAACACAACTCAAAGCCCATTAGGAACATGGCAACAGCACCAGCAACCACTGTCCACATAAACCACTGGAAGCACTTCTGTCCCCTCACAACCAGCACATAGAAGCCCATCAAAGATCCCCCTTTTCTAAAAGCTGCCACAGGTCAGAAACTGGGAATACACCAATTGCATTGCGTGACTGATTCCGTGGTAAAGAGAGAATTACAATATTTAAGAATAATCAGTTTACTATAGCAAAATGTCAAACAGTCCAGTACTCACCTTTTTCATGAACACAAACTGAGAGATTCTTAACACCATCAACCAGCACATTTTGTGTGTTGCCATGTCCATCTTCTGAGTCACTGTCATCAAATTGAGCCTCTATAATGACATCAGGACTGTCATTATGGCCTTTCAGGGATTGCTGCGGGAGATGGTGTCCACAGAGCTCCTCAGGGAGATCTGATTCATAGGCAATTTCTGTTTCTTTGTCACTGCTCTCTGGTTTAATTACCTGAAGAAATAGATAGAAAATCTCTGCTAAATCACTGGGGGAAATAAGGAAAGAACAGATTTTTTTTTCTAAGGAAAAAACTACACATTCAAAATCTGACAGCATAGGACACTCACCACATAGTCTGAAAAAGGATT